CAGGTCTGCAGCCTGTCCAGATCCCTTTGTAGTTCTGCCTGGTCTTCGATCGAGTGAATTCTTCTCATCAACTTCACGTCATCTGCAAACAGGGACACCTCAGAGTCTATTCCTTCCGTCATGTCGTTCACAAATACCAGAAACAGCACTGGTCCTAGGATTGACCCCTGTGGGACCCCGCTGGTCACAGGTGCCCACTCTGACACCTCGCCACGTACCATGACTCGCTGCTGTCTTCCTGACAAGTATTCCCTGATCCATTGTAGTGCCTTCCCTGTTATCCCTGCTTGGTCCTCCAGTTTTTGCACTAATCTCTTGTGTGGAACTGTGTCAAACGCCTTCTTGCAGTCCAAGAAAATGCAATCCACCCACCCCTCTCTCTCTCTCTCTCTCTCTCTCTCTCTCTCTCTCGTCTTACTGCTGCCACCATGTCATAGAACTCCAGTAGGTTTGTGACACAGGATTTCTCGTCCCTGAAACCATATTGGCTGCTGTTGATGGGTGTGTGTGTGTGCGCGTCGTGCCGAATAAGTAAAATTACTCAATTAGCAAGAACTCATTTAAAATTAAGTCCTTTTTAAAATTTTCTCTTATATGTTTAAAGATTGTAGATGAATGATTCACAGAACCGACACGTTGATAAATTAGACACATGTGCAACACATGTGTCTAATTTATCATGTTTAAAAATATAGATTTTTTTATGCTAATGTAGAAATTAATAATTTTGTACCAAAAGAACCTTAGGAAACTTACCTAGCCTTATTATAACAAGCGCAATTTAATTTAGCTAAATCCAACTAAATACATTTTAGATAAGTTTACAATAATTTAATAAACAAACACAATGATACATATATTTTTAGTTAGGTTCAGAATGATTTTTGATAAATTATTGCATACACAAATTTTAGCTTGCCTTATTCGGCAAGAAGAACGTTGCTAGTTAAGCCAATCGTAAGTTTTGCGTATTAGCCACGAGATAATTAAATTACATATATATAATATATATAGTTTTTGTAAAGAATATGCTCTCTTGGTTCTTCAAGATTTGACTTTGTGGTACAAAACAGCGATCATCTTATTCTTTCTTCTTAAGCCACATGCAGTCAGCGTTGTCAGTGCGTCAATGTTCAACACATTCCATTTTTTACTATTCTTATATTGTATAATTTTTAACCACGTTCTCTTATTCTTGTAAGTTGCCTGGTAAACAGCCGGGTGTTACCTATGCTCCAAAATATTTTCTATATTGTGATTATAAACCCCCCTCTTGGTCGTCATTTTGTGGTGCTCAAACTGGATTTAGTTTGACTCATTTTTGCTATCTCTAGAATTCATTTCAGTTGATTTATTTTTACGTAGTCACATTGGCACTTCCGGCTTCCATGTTGTCTTGATGTGTAAGATACATGTGCAACAGTTCGGTATCTTTATTGCACATGTGTAAAGTTGTGTTGATGAGAAAGACATGTGCAATAGTTGGGTATCTTTATTATGCGTGTAATTTTGCACTGATAAGACACATAAGGATATAAGAAAGGAGCACTACAGCGGGCCTACTGGCCCATGCTAGGCGGGTCCAAGCCACCTACTGGCCCAAGGTAGTCAGGTCCAAGTCACATCCACTTAAGAAGGAAGGAAGGAGCACTGTATCAGACCTTAGCTTAAGCAATAGTTAGGTATCTTTATTACACATGTACCTTACTAGTCAACTTTATACCATCTTCAACAAGGTTGTTTCTCTTTTATTGAGACGAATTTTGCTTTCTTAAAACGCATCAGTTGAATTTTTGGCACCTCCTCCTCCCCGAATGCATTACTGATGTCTGATATTAATGCAACCAGTAATTAGTTTTCTGGCCATCGTTTTAGCACCTCCTTAAGTAACTTTGTATTTACGTAACTAGTACTACCAGATGTTATCTCCCTCGCGGCACAGTCGCGGCCCAAAGCCTTACAGCCTGGGCAATCAAACCATAACCTATCTCCAGTTTTTATAGCCACCAGGACCTCTGTTTAGTTGTATATTTCAACGATTCAGGCCTCGGAGCCGTGTGCAAGGGTATACGGATTTTTTTTTCACCTCTAAATTCGTGGGATTTGTGTTAATATATTTTACATGACTAAGAATATGCTGCATAACTGCGGGTAGACGGACTACATGACAAAGCTGCCAGAGGCTTTACTCACAATATATCTAATGAACTGATAAATGCGGATTCTTAATGCTCTTTTTCGAATTTCATATTTTGTTAAGTTTTTGAAACTCCGATAATCAGGGAAATCTGATGTCAGAGATGAGCAGAAAACTCCTCTAATAGATAACAGGCATGAGGTTCTCCCGAAAGGAACCAGCCGGGGAATATGTATAGGTGAAACAGGGCGGTGTGGCGTGTGTGGGAAGGAAGAACAGAGGCATTAAGTGGCCAAGAAAAGCTTTGATTATCTAAGAATACCCATGTAACAGAAAGCGCCCAGAAAGAATAAAAAGGCACAATACCGTGACTGGAACAATACACAAATAACGGGCACATAGAGAGAAGCTTACGACGACGTTTCGGTCCGACTTGGACTCTACAAAGTCACACTGCCAGCAAGGATAAGAACGGGAATTGGTTTCCATGGGAAAGAAGAGAGAGCTCTTCTAAGGAGCGAATGGGATAATTTGCGAATTGGATAATTTGTAATTCAGTGGCAGAGATATCAGCTCACAAATGAACCTCGATTTAGTTATCGAATAGTGGGAGATATACTGGCAAGTCTCCTTACATCTGCTGCCTATGTACATAAATAGTATACAATGCCGACGAAGAATTAGACGCATGTGCAACATCTGGGTATCTTTATTTGTAGACGTTTCGCCATCCAGTGGCTTTATCAATACAGGACACAATGTGAAGAACGTAGAACTATTTACAAAAGATGAGATGATCAGTTCCTCAGCCTGAGAATGAGGAAGTAAACCATACCACGGGCGGGATTTGAACCCGCGGTCAGAGAGTCTCAAAACTCCAGACCGTCGCGTTAGCCACTAGACCAGCTAGCCACAATAAGATTCGTCCAACTAGGTATATTTCTACACCATAGGAAGGTTAGCATAGGCACCACTGTGACCACAAATGCAAGTTTGTTTGCAATCGTGCCATTAATATTTCGTGAGTAATGAGGAAGTGATCACCTCATCTTTTGTACATAATTTTTCACTGATTATTTCATCTTTTGTATATAATTCTTCACATTATGTTCTTGTACTGTACTGATAAAGCCACTGGATGGCGAAACGTCTACAAATAAAGATACCCAGATGTGGCACATACGTCTAATTTTTCATCTTGTCGGTATTATATACCATTCATATACAATGTGTAGGTTACCAGAATAGAGAGGAAGGGATCAGGAAGACCTAGGGTTCTGGGTGTCTCCCGGGAGGCTGGAGCCAAGCCTCCAGCAAGGACCCTCTGTGGTTTCCCTGATTCTGGATTTGGTGATAAGGCGCCACTGCCGTGTTAGAAAGGAATTAAACCTTAAGAACGGCAAGGGTCACTTTGACTAGCTGCTCAACCATGTGGCCACCCTTCCTTACCTTACTGTATGCCATCCTAGTTCTGGTTAGAAAAAACTGGACTATTTATTCAACTTTGAATAATTACAAGACATTTCTTTGGAATAACTATTTATTACTAACTTTTTTAAGACAAAATCTAAATCGTCAGACTATTAGTTTATCTGAAAAAATAAATTTCCTATTACCATCTGTATTTTATCTTCAAGTAAGCTATTTAAAAGAAAATGGAGAAGAGAAGTTGTGGCTGTATTTCACTGTTCAAAGAATTGTTCAAGCGTAAAGTCTGTTCCTTTGTTGTTAAATAAGAGATTTATCTTCTATCAGATCAGTGTTGTCGACCACAATGCTATACTTTATATATGAACATTGGTTATATTTATTATATCTTGTTCCTGGTGTTGTTCTTATATTCAATATACAATTATTGTCATTTTCGCGTGTTGTATAATAGTTGTTGGTTCTCTAGTACTTAATTTACAATTTAGAAAGATTAGTTTGAGACCGGGACGCGGGGGCGATGACCCCCGGAATCCTCATTTGCTATGTAGGTCAAACTTTTGAGTGATCAAGGTCTCAAGACCTAAATGTTACCAGTAAAATGTCCCAGTGTTTAAATTTTGTCTTTTTCCAAAAACCTGTCGTTATCGTATACCATTTCTTGCAAAACAAATAAAATATTAAACTGAAGGGCGAAGAAAAATATACTGCACTAAGATAACTTAACAAATATATGTGACAGTGAGTCAGATAAACTTCACTGCAGCCGCTGCACTGATGCTCGGCATATGGACCATAATGTTGAATAACCACTGAAAAAATAGTGAGTTTCCAAGCGCTTTCGTGATTTCTCACGTTATCGAAAGCGCTTGAAAAGTCACTAAGTCTTTCACTGTACATACTGTGATATCACCTATTTACTGTGATCTTATTGCATGGACCATAATAAAAACAAAGAATTTTTAATAAACGAAAGGCAAGAAGCAGCTTATGTGAGGAATATGGGACAAAAGGATTTTTTTAATACTGAAGAAAATAATATAAACTAAAATAGCAAAACAGCCAAATTTTTTTAACTAATAATAACTGAGTGAAAAACTGTGAGCATCGCGAAATGAATACCGGAAAAACTTTCGGATTTTTTTTTTAGGAAGATGAAGTCGCCATTATTGTGGTATGTTAGATATGTGCATAGCTTTTTTTTTTTTTAGTGGCAGGTTAAACAGTGCTAGTTCTTGCTAGTAACTTGTTAGGTGACCATGGTGGATACTCGTGCATGGCAGACTCACAATAGCAAGCAAAAAATATTGAAATGAATTTTGTAAAAACTGGATGGAGAGAGAGAGAGCGAGAGAGAGAGAGAGAGAGAGAGAGAGAGAGAGAGACAGAGAGAGAGAGGTCCTCTCTTCTAATAAACATAATTTTTCTTTTGCAGTTCGGGCGGAGTGAGGGTGTGGCGAGCATGGATCAGGAGGCTGGAGGAGGAGGAGGGATGATGGGGATGATGCTGGTGGACGAGGGTGACCGAGATAGTCCCCTGAAGCCGGACATGAGCATGACGGAAGGGGAAGACATCCTGGCCAAGCTGAGAGAGCAAGTCTCAGCCACCACCACTACACTGCTCACACACAAGAGGGATGACGACTCTCTCCCTCCTATATCCCTCCCTCCCATCTCCCACTCACCCACTCACAACTATAACAACCACAACAATAACAACAGTGTTCATAGTCTCTACGACCGTCTCCACTCCCTCCTTCAAGCTAAAAAGACAGAGGTGAGCTACCTCGGCTGTTTGAAGATGACTCTTCGAATCATAACCTGACGTACCGGGAAGCCTGGTCACGGACCGGGCCAAGGGGACGTTGACCCCTGGAACACATTTCAGGTAGACTGTGGATATAACCAGTTTTACTAAAGAAAAAAGTTCATGTGTTATCGTAGTGTTAAGTTCGATGTGGGAGAAGTGATGTTAGAAATAACACTAGTAGGTGAGATTGTTATACCTATATTGTAACGACAAAGATGGAGGCTGGCTTTATTAAGGGGCAAGTAAGTACCACCGTCTTGTAAAAACACATTCATTTTTACCATATAATGTACCTCCTCTATAATGTACCTTATCCATAATTACTATCGTATTTCTTTTGTTTCGTAAGGTGAAGTCTAGGATCTTTCCTTACGAAACAGACAAAGCAAATACGATAGTAATTATGGATAAGGTACATTATAGAGGAGGTACATTATAGGGTAAAAATGAACGTGTTTTTACAAGACGGTGGTACTTACTTGCCCCTTAATAAAGCCAGCCTCCATCTTTGTCGTTACAATATAGGTATAACAATCTCACCTACTAGTGTTATTTCTAACATCACTTCTCCCACATCGAACTTAACACTACGATAACACATGAACTTTTTTCTTTAGTAAAACTGGTTATATCCACAGTCTACCTGAAATGTGTTCCAGGGGTCAACGTCCCCTTGGCCCGGTCCGTGACCAGGCTTCCCGGTACATCAGGTTATAATCAACTAGACTGTTACTGCTGGCCGCACGTAATAGCTCGGCTTATAAGGAAATGACTATAGCAACCTATTCTTATGTGTGATAGAAGGCGGTTGAATAATCTTGGGCCCCTTACACTTACTGTGGTGTCTCGGAAGTGTACGAGTACACTTACTTTTCATTGGGGGTACATTGCACCGGCTGTCGAATCTTTTGTTTAATTAAAAAGTGATTTTGGGGACCAGTTCCTCTAGGATTTTCCAAGTGTAAATTAGGATGTATCTCTTTCTCGCTAGCAACCCAAGGAGTACAGGTCAAGGACCTGCAAACTGTATTCACAGAATCAGTGGCACTATGATCACAGGTTAAGTGGCATTATGCACAGAATGAGTGGCACTGTACCCAAAGAATCACTGTGTGCTCACAGATGAGTGACACTGTGCACTCACAGGGTGAGTGGCACTGTACACTCACAGGATGAGTGGCACTGTACTAACGTGATGAGTGGCACTGTACTCACAGAATGACTGGTACTGTACTTACAAAACCATCAGCACTGTGCTCACAGGAAACCTACCTACCTGGAGTCTACCTGTGTACTCACAGTAAAGGTGGCGCTGTGTACTCACAGAATAAGTGTCACTATGCGTTCACAGGACAAATGATACTGTCCAATAAACTCGCTACTCGGGGTAAAGCCCATGTTAAATACTTGTAGCTATTTAGAAGAACGTTATGTCTTGTTCTTGTTACAGATTGTTCATGTTTATGTTCGCTTTGTTGACATATTTTCTTATTATGAAAATCAAGGTGAAGCGTTAAATCCTCTGGGGTCATGTAGAGACCTTCATCAGACGGAAGTCTCCCCGCTTGCTCCTTGAAAAGGTCAGGATTTTTCTTCTCCGAATCCATATTGATGTTTTGTTAGGAAGAAGAGGATTTACTAGTAGAGAGTTCTGTCTCTGAGGATCCAATAGTGTTAAGGAAGGCCAAAGATCCAATTATTAGAGGGGATCCAGTATTGTTACATGGAGATCTAGTACTGTCATAAGGAGGATCGAGTACAGTTACAAGGATGATCCACTACAAGGGATCCAGTACCGTTGTAAAGGGGATACAGTACTGTGATAAGGGTGATCCGGTACTGTTATAAGGGGGATGCAGTACCGTTATAAGGGATGATCCAGTACTGTTATAGAGGATCATATGATCCGGGAGAGGATCAGTAAGGAAGTAGTTCATGTGTTTGCAACTCTCACCGCCGCCACTGCAGACGGCATTGTCACTGCCGCTGCCGCCGCAGCCGCCACTGACGCAGCCAGGATCCATAAACCATGATAATCTACAACAGCGAATAAGGAATCCAAGTTTTTAGTGACATGTACATGGAATGTTTATTGTTGGAAGTCACGTGATAGTTGTAACAGATGAGTGATAATAGTAGGTGGGTAACTTACCAGTGGTGATTAAGGTGGTAGTGGTAAAAGTGCTAGTGGTAGTTAAAGTTCTTGTGATACTTAGGGTACTAGTAGTGGTTAAAATTTTATGGTGATGGTGTAGGGTAGTAGTGTTAGGTGTAGTTCTAGAAGTGATGGTGTGGGTAGTAGTGTTAGGTGTAGTTCTAGAAGTGATGGTGTAGGTAGTAGTGTTAGGTGTAGTTCTAGAAGTGATGGTGTGGGTAGTAGTGTTAGGTGTAGTTCTAGAAGTGATGGTGTAGGTAGTAGTGTTAGGTGTAGTTCTAGAAGTGATGGTGTGGGTAGTAGTGTTAGGTGTAGTTCTAGAAGTGATGGTGTGGGTAGTAGTGTTAGGTGTAGTTCTAGAAGTGATGGTTGTGGGTAGTAGTGTTAGGTGTAGTTCTAGAAGTGATGGTGTGGGTAGTAAGTGTTAGGTGTAGCTCTAGAAGTGATGGTTGTGGGTAGTAGTTAGGTGTATGTTCTAGAAGTGATGGTTTGTGGGTAGTAGTGTTAGGTGTAGTTCTAGAAGTGATGGTGTGGGTAGTAGTGTTAGGTGTAGTTCTAGAAGTGATGGTGTAGGTAGTAGTGTTAGGTGTAGTTCTAGAGTGATGGTGTGGGTAGTAGTGTTAGGTGTAGTTCTAGAAGTGATGGTGTGGGTAGTAGTGTTAGGTGTAGTTCTAGAAGTGATGGTGTGGGTAGTAGTGTTAGGTGTAGTTCTAGAAGTGATGGTGTGGGTAGTAGTGTTAGGTGTAGTTCTAGAAGTGATGGTGTGGGTATGTAGTGTTAGGTGTAGTTCTAGAAGTGATGGTTGTGGGTAGTAGTGTTAGGTGTAGTTCTAGAAGTGATGGTGTAGGTAGTAGTGTTAGGTGTAGTTCTAGAAGTGATGGTGTGGGTAGTGTTAGGTGTAGTTCTAGAAGTGATGGTGTGGGTAATAGTTAGGTGTAGTTCTAGAAGTGATGATGTGGGTAGTAGTGTTAGGTGTAGTTCTAGAAGTGATGGTGTGGGTAGTAGTGTTAGGTATAGTTCTAGAAGTGATGGTGTGGGTAGTAGTGTTAGGTGTAGTTCTAGAAGTGATGGTGTGGTAGTAGTGTTAGGTGTAGTTCTAGAAGTGATGTGTGGGTAGTAGTGTTAGGTGCAGTTCTAGAAGTGATGGTGTGGGTAGTAGTGTTAGGTGTAGTTCTAGAAGTGATGGTTAGGTAGTAGTGTTAGGTATAGTTCTAGAAGTGATGGTGTGGGTAGTAGTGTTAGGTGTAGTTCTAGAAGTGATGGTGTGGGTAGTAGTGTTAGGTGTAGTTCTAGAAGTGATGGTGTGGGTAGTAGTGTTAGGTGTAGTTCTAGAAGTGATGGTGTGGGTAGTAGTGTTTAGGTGTAGTTCTAGAAGTGATGGTTGTGGGTAGTAGTGTTAGGTGCAGTTCTAGAAGGGATGGTGTGGGTAGTAGTGTTAGGTGTAGTTCTAGAAGTGATGGTGTGGGTAGTAGTTAGGTGTAGTTCTAGAAGTGATGGTGTGGGTAGTAGTGTTAGGTGTATTTTCTAGAAGTGATGGTGTGGGTAGTAGTGTTAGGTATTTCTAGAAGTGATGGTGTGGGTAGTAGTGTTAGGTGTAGTTCTAGAAGTGATGGTGTGGGTAGTAGTGTTAGGTGTAGTTCTAGAAGTGATGGTGTAGGTAGTAGTGTTAGGTGTAGTTCTAGAAGTGATGGTGTGGGTAGTAGTGTTAGGTGTAGTTCTAGAAGTGATGGTGTGGGTAGTAGTGTTAGGTGTAGTTCTAGAAGTGATGGTGTGGGTAGTAGTGTTAGGTGTAGTTCTAGAAGTGATGGTGTGGGTAGTAGTGTTAGGTGCATGTTCTAGAAGTGATGGTGTGGGTAGTAGTGTTAGGTGTAGTTCTAGAAGTGATGGTGTGGGTAGTAGTTAGGTGTAGTTTAGAAGTGATGGTGTGGTAGTAGTGTTAGGTGTAGTTCTAGAAGTGATGGTTGTGGGTAGTAGTGTTAGGTTATAGTTTCTAGAAGTGATGGTGTGGGTAGTAGTGTTAGGTGTAGTTCTAGAAGTGAGGGTGTGGTAGTAGTGTTAGGTGTAGTTCTAGAAGTGATGGTGTGGGTAGTAGTGTTAGGTGCAGTTCTAGAAGTGATGGTGTGGGTAGTAGTGTTAGGTGCAGTTCTAGAAGTGATGGTGTGGGTAGTAGTTAGGTGTAGTTCTAGAAGTGATGGTGTGGGTAGTAGTGTTAGGTGTAGTTCTAGAAGTGATGTGTGGGTAGTAGTGTTAGGTATAGTTCTAGAAGTGATGGTGGGGGTAGTAGTGTTAGGTGCAGTTCTAGAAGTGATGGTGTGGGTAGTAGTGTTAGGTGTAGTTCTAGAAGTGATGGTGTAGGTAGTAGTGTTTAGGTGTAGTTCTAGAAGTGATGGTGTGGGTATAGTGTTAGGTGTAGTTCTAGAAGTGATGGTGTGGGTAGTAGTGTTAGGTGTAGTTCTAGAAGTGATGGTGTGGTAGTAGTGTTAGGTGTAGTTCTAGAAGTGATGGTGTGGGTAGTAGTGTTAGGTGCAGTTCTAGAAGTGATGGTGTGGGTAGTAGTGTTAGGTTAGTTCTAGAAGTGATGGTGTGGGTAGTAGTTAGGTGTAGTTCTAGAAGTGATGGTGTGGTAGTAGTGTTAGGTGTAGTTCTAGAAGTGATGGTGTGGGGTAGTAGTGTTAGGTATAGTTCTAGAAGTGATGGTGTGGGTAGTAGTGTTAGGTTGTAGTTCTAGAAGTGATGGTGTGGGTAGTAGTGTTAGGTGTAGTTCTAGAAGTGATGGTGTGGGTTAGTAGTGTTAGGTGCAGTTCTAGAAGTGATGGTGTGGGTAGTAGTGTTAGGTGTAGTTCTAGAAGTGATGGTGTAGGTAGTAGTGTTAGGTGTAGTTCTAGAAGTGATGGTGTGGGTAGTAGTATTAGGTGTAGTTCTAGAAGTGATGGTGTGGGTAGTAGTGTTAGGTGTAGTTCTAGAAGTGATGGTGTGGGTAGTAGTGTTAGGTGTAGTTCTAGAAGTGATGGTGTGGGTAGTAGTGTTAGGTGCAGTTCTAGAAGTGATGGTGTGGGTAGTAGTGTTAGGTGTAGTTCTAGAAGTGATGGTGTTAGGTAGTAGTGTTAGGTGTAGTTCTAGAAGTGATGGTGGGGGTTAGTAGTGTTAGGTGTAGTTCTAGAAATGGTGTGGGTAGTAGTGTTAGGTGCAGTTCTAGAAGTGATGGTGTGGGTAGTAGTGTTAGGTGTAGTTCTAGAAGTGATGGTGTGGGTAGTAGTGTTAGGTGTAGTTCTAGAAGTGATGGTGTGGGTAGTGGTGATCGAGAACACACAGAAGACAGGAATGGGAAGTGACAAAGAACAGAATCAACATGATAACGATGGTTTTCCCCAGAGCTGAGCAGTGGCTTGCCAGAAGTTTGACAGGTGTGAGAGGAGTCAGGTATTTACAACACGGGAACGCCCCTCATATCTGGCCTCGCGCCACAAAGGAATTACGTGCAATAAAATTTTTTTTCTACTAGTAAATCAAGATCGAGGTTGAACTTTGGCGTGAGAAATGTTGACTGTCTCACCGCTGGACTACCCGAGTGTCTTGGTGGGTCATCGTGTCCAGTCAGCTTCCTAACTGCTTCCATGGAAGAATTATCACTCCGACTTGTCCGTTTGCCTCTTGGAATGGTGTTATACCTGAGATAAAAAGTTGAAGTACTGTAAGCCAAACACACACACACACACATACACACAGACACAGAGTAGTCAGGAAGTGGAATAGTTTGGGAAGCGATGTAGTGGAGGTAGGATCCATTCATAGCTTTAAGGAGAGGTATGATAAAGCTCATGGTGCAGGGAGAGTGACCCAGTAGCGGCCAGTGAAGAGGCGGGGCCAGGAGCTATGAATAGACCCCTGCAACCACAACTAGGTGAGTACACACACACACACACATACAGGGCCAGGAGCTGTGAATCGACCCCTGCAACCACAACTAGGTGAGTGTACACACACAGGCGGTGACATAAATGGGACACAGCACGGATTCAAAGGCAGACACATAAAACCCCATGGAAATATGTAGCTTGATAGTTAATGGGGGACCCATGAGCTGGAACTCGAAGCTTGCAAGCACAAATATGTATAATTAGAGCGAAACGAATAAAAAAAAGGCAACACATCATCAACATTAAACCTATTTACCAGAAGAGAAGAAATTCTCAACATGATCACAGTACACTTGGAAACAATGATCTTTCTATATTGGAACTAACGAATGATGTTGAATGTGACTTAAGAAATGAAACAGAAGCAAACAGGAAAGACTAGAGTTTAAGAAAGGAAAATATAACGAATTGAGACGGTATTTTGAGAAATTAAATGGGATATAATATCAGGAGACATAAATAATTAGAAAAGAGATCCGTGTAACATATATGAATATGGAATCAAATAATTTATCCCAACAATTAAAATGAGACAAAATAATAAAGAATAATTTAGTGGAAGTCTTGGAAGAGAAGAAATGATCAACAACCGTCGTCCCAGACTGTTTAAAAACACTACCACAAGAAATAATAAACATTGGCGGAACAAGTGTAGAAGTTATCATGAGGAAATTGGATATATACCTCTGTCAAGTGACAGACCAACCAGCGAGCCACAGGCAGTAACAGACTGCTTGATCAGGCAAGCACTGTACCAGGCTCGGGGCTGCAAAAACAAGAAAACTCTCAAAATCCTTCAAAGGTATATCATAGGAAAGCTAGCAAAGATTTAAACAAGAGCTACTGGAATGGCTGCCAGAGCTGGAAAGTATGAGTTATGATGAAAGGTTATTAACACTAAAGATGCTCTTACTGATACCAGGAAACGAGGAGACATGATAACAACATATATGGTTATAAAAGAATCATTTTTTTTCACAGCATGGTAGACCACACGAGACTAGTGAACCTTTAAACAGAATTCAGGGAGTGAAAAGTCCCTCAGAGTCCTACAGACATCATATGTTTGGCCAGTCTTCGAATGCGCTGCCCAGTACGGAGCCTCCGCCAAATCATGAATGTGCAAAAACGTGAGATGCGAAGGTTTACAACCTATCTTGTTGTAGAGCTAACACGAAGCTCTTGGTGGTCTCAAAAAGGAAAGAAGTGAAAAACTTTACCAAATTATGCAAATGTATTTTTTTTAACCTTTTTATGCCTCGTAAACGCCTTAATATAATATCCAGCAATCCGTCACATACATAGCGCTGCCCAGTATGTAAATATCCATTAAAAATAATTACGTTGAAGTTAAAAAGTTATTTATTTTCTAAGTGTATATACTTTCAATGCACCAGACAGAAACAGGCGGGTATATACAGAGAAAGATCGCAGTCAGCAGTATTCAAAGCCACATCAGAGTTCCCCAAGTAATGCGCTACAACACTCGGCCACTGGTGCCTTAAAAATTGGGCAGCCTTGTGAGTCTCCCTGATGTAGCTTCCAAACCTGCAGATTGCGATCTTCCTCACTGTATATACTTTATTTGATAAATTGATGAGGTTTATGTAGCTAATAATGTCAATTACTGCAACTGTTAGTTTTGGTTCAATATCTCGTAAGCATCCATAAAATATTTCAATACCTGTGCCAAGTTTTCCAATATAAACTTCATTTGTTTGCCTAATATGTGAAAATATATTCTAGTAACTTTTTTTTTAAGATCCGCTATTTTCTTTAAATTTTTACAAATTCTTCTGCATATAAAGCAGAAAGTTGATACTTTTAACATAGCATCCCTTTATTCTAAGGCCACTTCAAAGCATTTCTAAGCAATTTGATAGGCCTACTGACGAGATATTAATCAAATTCTGACACACTACAAGTCACAGCTGAAAAAAAATACTGTTTGGGCCTCAATCATAAACATAATATTTCTCATTTTCTGAGGGAGAATTACTAGGGGGTCGTGGTCACCCAGCTCAGTTACACTCACTGAAATAATAATAATAATAATAATAATAATAATAATAATAATAATAATGTTACTGGTACAGGAGGACGGGGAGGGTGACGAGGACTCGCGGGACCTGGTGCTACGGGCGGAGGCGCTACAAAGACAACGGGAGACGCTATTATCATCACCTCAGGCGCTGATGAATGCCATGAGGGGCGGTGGACCGCCCTCGCTGGTGCCGCCCGGGCCTCACCTGCCCTTCATCCCCAGCACCGTGGGTCTGCCGCCCACCTCACAGATGCCGCCCACCCCGGGCTCGGCTGGTTCCCGTGACTCCTCCGGTAACGGCGCCCGCACGCCCTCACACACGCCCGAGCCGCACCAGAGTCAGCAGTCCTGGAGCTTCGAGGAGCAGTTCAAACAGGTGAGTTGTTCTCTTATACTAGGTGAGTCCGCCTCCCATGTTAGGTGAGCTTCTATATCAGGTGAATGTTACATTATTCTTGGTGAGTCACGACCACACACGCCTGTGTAGCACCAGGGTCACCAGTTCTGCAACCTCGAGGACCAGTTCAAATTGGGGGGGGGGTGCCCACCCCGACACATAGTGGCGCCCACCTTGACACATGGGGGTGCCCACTCCGGCACACGGGGGCATCATCGCTAGCGAACCACGAAAATTTGGGCGGTGCAGGTGAGCAATAGGGGTAATTATGTGATACATTACTCAGAGAGCTGACACTTATACGCCTGTCCGCACCTGACCACAGACATTCTGTTGCCTTCATGGTCCCCTCCTCCTCCTCCTCCTCCTCCTCCTCCTCCTCCTCCTCCTCCTCCTCCAGTACTCTACCTACCACTTCCTTCTACTCGTACGGCGACTCGACCTCTACTCTTCTTTCTCTCGTACGCAACTTTAACCTTTAATTTCTGTTTTGATGTTATTAAATATTTAGTTAATTTTCTCCTTGATGTATATTCGCCCCACCGCCTCTGTTATATGTCTAGCCAAGACTGGTATTTTTCAAGCCTGCCTGGACGAAGATACTGTTAGGTAAATGTACACAGATAGCTACTACTGTGACATTATCTTGTGGCAACAATAATTCTATCTTTATTATGAATCACACTCTCCCTAACTCTCTAGTTTTCGTGTCTTTCCGTATCACTCTGCTCTTGTTTCCCTCCTTCGTATCCTACAGTTTCACTCAGAAAGAATAATAAGGCACAATACCGTGACTGGAACAATACACAAATAACCCGCACATAAGAGAGAGAAGGTTACGACGATGTTTCGGTCAGACTTGGACCCTTAACAAAGTCACAGTGTCTTTGTAAAGGGTCGGACCGAAACGTCGTCGTAATCTTCTCTCTCTTATGTGCGGGTTATCAGTGTACTATTTCACTCATTCCTATTGTATCCCTCGTTCGCTTGTCCATTTTTTCTCCCGCTCATTCTTTTCTTGTATCGTATTATCGTTATCTCACTCATTCTCCTCCTCCCATACCTTGCTCCTTTCCCCTCCCTCGCTCATTAGCCTCTCCCCTCATGACACTCTTTTTTCCTCTCCTCCTGCTCTCTTCTACGAACACTCAGCATCCCTTGCCAGCTTCAGAGACCTCAAAATGACACTGCCTGCGACCACACCTGCAAGATCCGGCACACTTTCAATAATTCTACCACCTTAGTTGTTTCCACGCGTCCATAATTACAGAGAAAGAGAGAGAGAGAGAGAGAGAGAGAGAGAGAGAGAGAGAGAGAGAGAGAGAGAGAGAGAGAGAGAGAGAGAGAGAGAGAGAGAGACTCCAATAGCTTGCAGTACTGCAAGACGTGCACGAAGAGAGCCGGCCACTAACTCAAGGTCGAAGCTCTTTGGACCTGAGATTAACGCTCCGTCTTAGAGTGGCTGTCAGCACTCGTTCTGACGTGTGTGTGTGTACTCACCTAATTGTACTCACCTAATTGTGGTTGCAGGGGTCGAGACTCAGCTCCTGGCCCCGCCTCTTCACTGATCGTTACTGGGTCCTCTCTCTCTCTCTCTGCTTCCTGAGCTTTGCCATACCTCTTCTTAAAACTATGTATGGCTCCTGCCTCCACTACTTCACTTGCTACGCTATTCCACTTGCTGACAACTCTATGACTGAAGAAATACTTCCTAACGTCCCTGTGACTCGTCTGAGTCTTCAGCTTCCAGTTGTGACCCCTTGTCCCTGTGTCCCCTCTCTGGAACATCCTATCTCTGTCCACCTTGTCTATTCCCCGCAGTATCTTGTATGTCGTTATCATGTCTCCCCTGACCCTTCTGTCCTCCAGTGTCGTCAGTCCGATTTCCCTTAACCTTTCCTCGTACGACATTCCCTTACGCTCTGGGACTAGCCTTGTTGCAAACCTTTGTACTTTCTCTAACTTCTTGACGTGCTTGACCAGGTGTGGGTTCCAGACTGGTGCTGCATACTCCAGTATGGGCCTAACATACACAGTGTACAGTGTCTTGAACGATTCCTTATTAATGTATCGGAACGCTATTCTCAGGTTTGCCAGGCGCCCATATGCTGCAGCAGTTATTTGGTTGATGTGTGCCTCCGGTGATGTGCTCGGTGTTATGGTTACCCCAAGGTCTTTCTCCCTGAGTGAGGTCTGTAGTCTTTGTCCACCTAGCCTATACTCTGTCTGCGGTCTTCTTTGCCCCTCCCAATCTTCATGACTTTGCATTTGGCGGGATTGAATTCGAGAAGCCAGTTACTGGACCACATGTCCAGCCTGTCCAGGTCTCTTTGCAGTTCTGCCTCATCCTCGTCCGATTTAATTCTTCTCATCAACTTCACGTCAACTGCGAACAGGGACACTTCAGAGTCTATTCCTTCCATCGTGTCGTTCACATATATCAAAAATAGCACTGGTCCTAGAACTGACCCCTGTGGGACCCCGCTCGTAACAGGCGCCCACTGTGATAACTCTTCACGTACCATGACTCGTTGCTGCCTCCCTGTCAGGTATTCCCTTATCCATTGCAGTGCCCTCCCTTTTACATGCGCCTGATCCTCCAGCTTCTGCACTAATCTCTTGTGGGGAACTGTGTCAAAGGCCTTCCTGCAGTCTAGGAAAACGCAATCTACCCAACCCTCTCTCTCGTGTCTTACTTCTGTTACCTTGTCATAAAACTCCAGGAGGTTTGTGATACAGGATTTGCCTTCCATGAACCCATGCTGGTTTTCATTTATAATCTAGTTCCTTTCCAGGTGTTCGACCACTCTCCTCCTGATAATCTTCTCCATGACTTTGCACACAATACATGTCAGAGACACAGGTCTGTAGTTTAGTGCCTCGTTTCTGTTTCCTTTCTTAAATATGGGGACTACATTAGTGTGTGTGTGTGTGTGTGTGTGTGTCGCTACTAGGTTCGCTTACCCTGCCCCAAGAGCTTTATCATATTTTATATGTGTATGTGTGTACTCACCTAGTTGTGGTTGCAGGGGTCGAGTCTCATCTCCTGGCCCAGTGTGTGTGTGTGTGTGTGTGTGTGTGTGTGTGTGTGTGTGTGTGTGTGTGTGTGTGTGTTACAGTTGGTGCGGGAGGGGCAAGAGTAAACGTCGTGGTAAGATATAAGCAGTGTAATGCCATATACACAAACGTAAACGTTATCCAAACTACCTCAGTCATTCTAGGATGAAGTTGAAATACGGTATAAAATACCGACAAGTTGATTTAGACACATGTGCAACAGTTGGGTATGTTTACTGTTGAAACGTTTCGCCTACACGGTAGGCTTCTTCAGTCAAATACAGAGGCATTAGGTGTAGTAGTGAAATAATGATGTAATCAATCCATCAGCCAAGGTTGATGGCAAAACTTTTCAACAGCAAAGATACCTAACTGATGCACATGTCTCTTAATCATCAGTCGAGGATGAATTGGCCTCGGACTTAGACATGCTGGGTTCAGACTTGGAGATGCTGAGATCGAGCTGTTAAGATGTTGGGCTGGGACCTGAAGAGGCTGGTCTCGCCTCGCCATCTCATTCCGACAATTATAGGGAAAACGCGGTGTTGTGATCCGAGGCTTGCAGATGGCCGGGGAGAACTAGCCGTTGCTCCCAGGTGATGTAAGGGAGAGGGTGGAATCTCCGACAGAGCGGGTTGTGCCCCTAGTAGTTTTCACGTCGATTATGATTGGTTTATGAGCGGATGTTTGCGACAGCGGCGTGTTACAATGGTCCTTGTGAGTGGAGCGTTTTGGGTTGGTGTTAGAATGAGGGTCCCTGGTGTTATACGCCCATGTTGCCTTTCGGTGTTAGAGTCGTGATATGCTAATGAAGCAGCAACGTGTGTCAATCAAGAGTTGCAGCAGCGGCGGCGGCGGCGGCTTGGGGCAGTAACAGCACACTGACTCCGTGTCGGCTTACCGCATATTTTTCAAACAGCACATTCTAAGCGCAGCAGAAACAGCAGTAGGTTAGGGCGGTAACAGAACACTGTTAGTGCAGCAACGACAACAATTCACCTAAATCCCCCGTCAAGGATGCGACTCACATCAGTCAGTTAACACCTGGATATCTATTTACCGTTGCGTGAACAGGGGCAGCAGGTGTAAAGAAACAATGCCCAAAGTCCCCATTCGCCCCAGAGTCGCAACGGGCCCTTCGGTTATGAGCTGAAGGCGCCACCACTAATCTACGATCCAGGTGTAGCAGCAGTAACAACTTAGGAATAAGTGTCAGCATAGTTGCTGATCCCTGTGTTATATAGCATAGCATATAGTATCATCCATGTGCTTTAGATAGGAGATCCCTTTTAGGCCTGTGACTGTGTGACGTCACGGGATGCGCATGTGTACTTTCGTACCTCTGCCTCGGCCTCAGTCGGCGGTAGATCATCCAGGCTAGAACACGGCAAGGCTGGGCTCCATCTCTCATCATCTCAGTCTGACAATATATATCGTTACCATCCAACAAGTGTGTCTACCTTCAACCCTCGATATCTCCATTTAAGAACCCCTACGATACAAGTAAGCAGACACAAAAGCTTCATGGAGATGAACTCTTCTCTAGGTTGAGGGACTGACTACCTCAAATACTATTCCTCTGAGGTTGAAGGGCTGATTATATCATATTTCACTACTACACATGAATCTGTATGTGACTGATGAAGCCTACTGTGTAGGCGAAACGTTTCAACAATCTTTATTAAGACACATATGCAACAGTTGGGTATCTTTATTGTCAAGTAAAAGGACACAAGTGCAACTAACGTGACATTTTATTGTGGCAACGTTTCGCTCTCCAGGAGCTTTGTCAAGCCGTTGAACGTTTTGACAAAGCCGTGGCAGTAAAATGTCACATTAGTTGCACTTGTGTCCGTTTACTTAACAATAAAGATACCCAACTGTTGCACATGTGTCTTAATTATCTCCAGGTGAGGAAGGTA